AATGGTAGAGCAGAGTGATTGGTATGTAAATACAATGACAATGAAAGGAAAGGTAGCGGGATGGTTTTCAATAAAACACAAATTTGTGTTGAATACACCAATACGCACATTGCCCAAAAGCACCTTTGTGCTGAATAAGTGCTTTTTTAGATTAGTGAATAACATCTAGGAACACTGCAGTGTTCCAAAAAAAAAAGAAAAACTAAATTTGATTAGAAATTAAAATGGATGTGGGGACCGGTCTGCAAATTGTGCATCTCACACTGAATTGGGCTGATTTTTTTTCCTAGAAAAGGAAGTAAATATACACCTGTGTAGCACCAAACTCTAGATTAAATAGAGTGTCCCACTTTTTCGCTCCTGTTTCTGTGAGTTGGCACACCTGGAGAAAGAGAAGAACTGTATAATGCTAAATATGAATATGGAACAAACACTATATTAAGATCATAAGAGGTTACAAGAACCTCATTAGGTCCACAGACTTTAGATAAGCTCTAATGAAGGATCTGGAATAAACAGGAAAAAAATGTAGGGATGTGGGGATTTAACATGCTTTAATTCATGACCATGGATCTTTTTTCTTGAAATAAAAAAGTATAGCTCTTTATTTGACAATTGCAGCTCCAAAGACTAAAGTATAATAAACAAAAAAAAAATTATGTATAACTAAGGCATTTCTCTTTCAGATCAGTTCAAAAGACCAAACAAAAAAAAAGCCCCTTGTTCAAATGATAATTGCGTGTTTTGTATTATGACACATTCTGTATTATGACATATATCTGAGTGAAAAAGATTATCAAAAAAGGAAAGAAATGTAGGGCAGGACTAAAAAAAACACTCACAATAAGATCAATGACATAGATTTAGACAATAGATTTTATTAAAAAAAAGATTAAAGTCTTTATTTTTGGGTAACCCTTTCCCTTTAAGACACTGACATTTTTTTAAATTAGGAAGTTAATGAAATCATCGAAATCACATGAAAAAAAGAAGTGTGCTTACTCAAGACTCATGAATTGCAATAGACATTACTATGTATTTCGCTATCTGCTCCATTAAATATATAAATAAGTGTATGTGGAAGACCGATGAAAGCATCTATATTGGCTGCTCTGCTCAAGGCAAGTATTAGCAGTAAAGCAGGCATCTTACATTATTTCCTTTTCGGTGAAAACCCAAAGCTTGCCAGTGTAAAATTATTTATGCAAATGAGATACACTGAATGAGGTTACAGTGTGCATGCCTAATATAAAGGATGAAGTGTGCGTGACTCTGTCAAACACTGAGTCGTTGATTGTTAGGTAACGTTGCTCTAACTACGCTCTGTTCTTTAGAGGATGACAGACAGGCACAGCATCAAACTCCATGCCGCATCCTGCTTTGTCAGCACAGGGACAGCTGTTCACAGGAAGGTCTTAGACTTTTGTTGAATTGCGGTCCTTACACACAGAGATGAGCACTGCAGGCTGAAGACAGCCAAGGTGTAACATCTTCAGCTATGTCAGTTTCCATCACTGGCTATTAGTCAAAAGGCGTGCTTGTAAAACAAAGAAGAACTGATGCAGCATTTCTGATATTTTCTTTCAGGATCACGTGATAAACCGTCCTAACCACTGTTCACTTTAGATCGCCATGTAGTTGCAGTGATTAAGTGGCTGCTGCTGAAAATTAAAGGTGCACTCAGTAAGTTTTTGTTTACATTTTACTGGATTTTATACTGACACCAATAGGTTCACAGTGTTTTTGCTCCTTTTTGTCAATAATTATCATTTATTTCATGCACGCATCTATAAAATCCACATTCTTGGACTACATCCCAACACATTTTGTGCATTGTTAGGGGTTCGTGCTGGTGCGCAGTATGTCTCTCCCTCTATAATGCAGTGCTGCTGTCTTAGACCGAGACATTTTGGTGTTGTGCTGGCCATGGCCACCACTTGACGTCCTGCCGTTTGTCCTCACTCTGTGTGGCTGTGGGTCATCACTTCAACACGGACCGCTTGAGTGGACATTTTATTTTTCCACTCGTACTGATTCTTTTTGGACTGTCTAGTGCATCACGGACATTCTTGTCACCATGAACTTACATGTTTATAGTTTATAAACACAAAAGTGTTTTAAAAAATAAAATGATTAATATTAATACAGTACTATTATTGTTATTATTAGTAACCAGGTCCAGTTGAGTTCAACAGTCGTGTTCCTGAAGCAAAACAACACATTCATTTTCTCCATTGGGGAACTGATTTAATGATAACTTTGAAGACAGATTGACTGTGAGTTACGAGGCTGTTGATTATTTTTGTTGAAGCTATTAGCCCACATCACATATAACTACATTACCTATGATTCCGCAAAAAAAAAAACAAAAAAAAAAACGACCAATCAGAGAATCACAACAAGCAGGACATAATTGAGTCTTCTCTTGACACTCTCAAATGACTTGTAATATAATTTTTAATATTTAGCAACATCTTTAAATCAGTGGTTTTATATTTATCTATTGTTTTCATATATGTCACTTGCAATGCTTCATGGGATTGTAGCCTACTTCCTTCCCTCATTAAAGCCATTAAACGGATAGTTCACCCAAAAATGAAAATTCTGTCATTAATTACTCACCCTCATGTCGTTTCAAACCCGTAAGACCTTCGTTCATCTTCGGAACACAAATTAAGGTATTTTTGATGGAAGCTGAGAGCTGTCTGTCCCTGCATAAACAGCAACGCAACTGAAATGTTCCCAAGTCCAGAAACGTAGCAAGGAGATCTGTAAAATAATCCATGTGACATCAGTGGTTCATCCGCAATTATACAAATCTACGAGAATACTTTTTGTGCGCAAAAGAAAAAAAAATACTTTATTCAACAATTCGTCTCCTCCGCATCACCCTGTAGCGCCATTTTGGAGAACAACATACGTTGTTTACGTCCAGCGGATATTCTCCAAAATGGCACCAGGGTGATGCGTAGGAGATGAATTGCTGAATAAAGTCGTTTTTTTCTTTTCTTTTGCGCACAAAAAGTATTCTCGTAGCTTCGTATAATTGCGGATGAACCACTGATATCACATGGATTATTTTACAGATCTCCTTGCTACATTTCTGTCTGGGAACATTTCAGTTGAGTTGCTGTCTATGCAGGGTCAGACAGCTCTCAGATTCCATCAAAAATATCTTAATTTGTGTTCCGAAGATGAACAAAGGTCTTACGGGTTTGGAACGACATGAGGGTGAGTAATTAATGACAGAATTGTCATTTTTGGGTGAACTAGGCCTAACCCTTTAAATTCACAGTTTTGTATGTTTGTCTGACTTTTGCTTCAAATTCTGGTTTTTGTGAGCTGGCTGGTCAGGTTTAAGGCTTTTAACAAATAATTTTTTTTAAAATCCCTATCCAGAAAAAAAAGTGGGTGGGCTCTGTTGCATTCTATTGCATGACACTGTTGGTCATGTGATCTCAACATGGTGGCCTCCATTAGAAGACCATCCAATCCATGTACAATAAAGCAGCTTTTCTTATATAAGTGATGACAAATAACCTTTTAATCATATTTGTCAGAAACTCGTTTTATTATATCTAACACATTTTAAGAAGTAAAAAAACAAAACAAAACAAAACTGAGTGCACGTTTAATTTAGGCTACATCATCTACACGTTTTTGTAGGAGCATAAAGCTATTTTCTGGTCAAAATAATAATTCATATTCACTCTGAACTCAAACAAGGTTGGCACAAACCACATAACATTGTTATAACTATGTGTCAGTAACAATAAATAGACAAACTACTTAAAAAGGATAATATGACATCTTTGAAGGAGTCACAAGGTTTAGCCTGATCAGCAGCATCTCTGTGTTGGATCACAATAACTCGAATAAAGAACATTAAATGCTGCACAACACCTTTTCAGACGCCCAAACAGTGTCTTGTGAACATAAAGTTCACTTTTGGGAACGATTTGTTATTAAACACGTTGTGAAGACGCAGTTGCCAATGTAGGATGCTATTAATATCAGCGCGGGAATTAAATCAATACGCCAAACAGACTACGATTCTACGCCAGTTTTCCGCATGATGGCGACTCTGAGGTTTATAAAATGCTTCTCTAGCGTCATTTTCTCTCTTGTGTCAGGCAGAGAGCAGAACAGTCGAAACTTAAATGTCTCGGACAAGAAACGCTGATAAATAACATCCTTTTTCCTGGAAAGCTAAACGGATATCAAACGATGAAAGACACTGAACTTAAATCGGTAAACTGTTGACTGCCGTTAGCGTGAGACTGACAAACAAGTTTCTGCATAAACCGCTGTAGTAGGCTACTGACATAATTATTTCATTCCCTCTCCTTCATGTTGTTATATATTCTGTGATAGAAAAAGGGAGATGCTTGGCGTAATGTATAGGGGACTCGCAGCATCAGTCTCCATTCGCTTTCATTGCATCTTGTTTCATTAAATGATAGTGAATGGTAACTGAAGCTGTCTTTTTGAGTTCCACAGACGATAAAGTCATACAGGTTTGAAACAACATGAGGTTGAGTACATGACAGCATTTTGATTGTTTGGATGAACTATACTTTAATGACAAAGAACATAAACATATAGCTATTTTTTTTTATTAATTTATAATTTATGTAAACACAAGGAATCTATCTGTTAATAAGTATACGCATATTATGTAACCTATCCGATGGTTTTAAACACAGTAATGTCATCTCGCAGAAAAAAAGATGCTCATTTCCAAGGAAAAAAAAGTAGACATGACAGATAAACCCTATTAAACGAACACACGGGATATCAGGTGCAAAAATCTCCGAGCACCGAGCAAAGCAGCAGATGCCTGATGGTAAAATTGTTGGTTGTCTCGACGAGCGCATGCTCATCATCTTTACGCATAAAACAAACCCCAGTCGCTGCTGACTTGAAACCAAATGCCCGTTTTTAGTTGCTCTACCCCAAAAGTAACTCTATTCTAAGTTGTCGTTCCGTTTGTTTCGTACCTGTTTTTCTAAGCACTCCTTGGCTGACAGTGAAGGTTTGGGTGAGGGCGACCTGTCACACACACATCCCTCCAACAGGTATAATCCCGAGGGTCGCGAACTGGACTCGCTCTCAAAATAAAAAAGCATATTTTGCAACAGAGCAAACCACTTGGTGTGCCATTTTGTGTTGTCGGAGCTCTTTTTGCTTAAGCAGCCTCGCCTCGTGCCGTCTTTCTTTGCCAAAAGACCCAGGTAGGTGACATGACCATCATTAAGTCGAATTCCCTTCTGCATTTTTGTGAAGAAGATGCTGGTTTTGGGGGAGAAGGCTTGTTTCGGTCCTTACATCTTCTTAGCGCCAGATCCCCGAGCAGACGGGCACTTTCTGGATTAGAAACGAAGCCTGGCACGTTCTGCCCATCCACTGCAATCACCGCCTTGGCATGAAGTAGGGAAGAAGCGCAGAGAAAAACGAAGAATGCCAAACTGTACCATCGTAATGTTGTCGAATGCGTTCAGGCTTTGGAAAAAGACACCGAAATGCCTCCCGTTACCTCTTCTGTGACGCAGTGAGCGGGGAGAATTAGGCTACAGTGTATGCGAGTGATGGTTTGTCGCGTTCTCCCGTGAAATTCTCTATAAACCAGTGCGCGCGCTCACTGCTGAATGAGGCAGTGGCGTCACGTGACCAGCGTTCAGAACCTCGGACTGGGAGACGAACGTACTTTTGCAGTCACTTGAGTTAATTTTAGATCTGTTGCACAGATGATGACAGATTGCTTCGTGCGAGGAAAAACCCTCTTGAACCTGTATTGCATTTAAATTTGTTACCAGTTACACTAAACGTAACACATAGCTAATCTGCATCTGAAGTGGCACATAAACCATAAACGGTGCGTTTCAATGCTATAGAGGCGCATAATAGGCTATAGCCTATTTAAAATCGCAGAAATTTTAAAGGGAAGAAATAATGCTACGAAAAGTAATGTTAGGAGAGGCTGTGCTAAATTGCGATAATATAGTCACTGTTATGATTTTCATTAGGCACTGCAGGAAAATTCTTAGCCATACATTCACAATAAAGTAGCCTATTTTGAGTGCCGTATTGTTTTTAATATAAAACCCTACACAATAAAAATATGTAGGACCAGATTTTGCAATAAAAAGTCATCTAAATAAGCAAAACGTGGCACACTTTGGCTAGAATTCCCCCCCCCCCCCCAAAAAAAACCCATATATATGGGTGAATTAAGGGTGATTGGGACAGTTTTTGAATTTCCCACTTGAGCAAGGTTTCTTGCCATAAATTAAAAACATCAGCCCAACACATGATATATTTCTGTAATACTGAAGATGTTAACTACCCATTTGAGGAGGAAACAATTTTATATTATGATGAAAGGATGCATGACGTACACTTTTCTGTAAATTGAGCCAAAACATTTTTTCATTGATTTAGGGTAGTGTAAGAATATTTACTGTATTGCACAAGTTAGTTCGTACTTTAATATCATTTTATATGCAATATTTCATTTTCTGTTCATCATTATTAAGAGTCCATGTTTATTTCTGTTCAACTTTATTTCTCACTTCATAAATCCATCCACAATTCATACAATACAAGACATGTAACTGAGGTAAAAAGTAAAAAAAAATGCTTCAGGTTAAAAAAACAAATTGTTGGGTGGCCACATCACCAATTAACTGTTTGACAAACACATTTAACCTGCACAAACCTTTAACAGAAACATGGATATGGTTTATTACTGCAACAAAAAACATTTTAAAAAGTGTATCTATAATGCTTCTATTTCAGAATTTTTATTTTAGCAAAAATCTAGCTAGTTCATGAATATTTTTGTGGTTGATTAGGGCTTGCATAAATAAAAAGGTTGAAAACCACTGATTTAGGGCATACAGATCATATACAATGGTTCTCTATTACAAGGTAAATCATTTTCTTAATTAGCAAAGCCTTTAAGCATGTCACAATCAACCAAAATTATGCTGTCCCATCCATCCAAACTGTGCTTGGGTGAATGGGACAAAATAAAAACAACCTAATTCGGAAAATAGAAACATGATATTAACACTTTTTTAATGCTTTTGTAGAAGTAGTGCATCATATTTATGTTTCCATCAAAAGTTTATATAATATAGTAGCTATGACAATTTTAGGACCTTATTATGAAAACTAGCAAAAGCTTATATAATTATCCTCAGTTCATGCATTTCATGGTCAACTTCCTGTTTGATGCATGCCTTGCCCACCTACAAGATGTCACACCAATGAGGGCATCCCATTTTAATTATGTGGTCTTACGCCTAAGACTCTGCAAAAAAGTTTTTATTTTCACTCATTAGGTGAGAAAATAAACTCTGTATAGTTATACTGTCCCATTTTACCTTATGTCGCAATCACCCTTAATTCGTATATATATATATATACACGAAAAAATATACATAATTATGTAAGTACGTTTAAATGGATAGGCTGCACTGATGCTGCATTTTATTTGAAAAATGCCTTATGATTATTAAAATGCTCCTCAAGGGTCTTTTTCAGAAGGAAGGCTTACGTTTCAATAAAATCAATTGAAACTGCTTTCAAATTGCCATTGGCATTAAGCTCACTAAACATGCTTATCACACGTTCAGAGGTATTATTGTTCCTTAAGGTAGCTCTAAATTATTTCATGGCTAGTCTGACCAATGCATTTATCTGTAATCAATTGTGTGAATGATCATTAGTGGTCGACTGGCAGTAAATCATGCAGGGCTTTGCATTTGCTCTGTTAATCAAAGGAGCATTTGCAATGAGCAGTACACTTCCTGCCGCCCTGTAGGAAAGCTTGTTTTGCATCTCTAAGGGTTGTTGCACTTTCAGTGCTCCCATACGAAGATCTCTAAGAAAAACATTTGTCTTTGACGATTCTTGTAAAATACTACTTTTGTATCAACAGTTTACGGAAGGGCTTAAACCAGCACTTAGTGTCCACACTCAAACCTCACAATAGATGACGGCTGTAATTAGCCACTTGTGCTCAAACGCAGCAGCTCCTTGAACATCTCTGTCATTTCCTCTTCTTTATCTCCTGTGATTGTTGACACCATGTCTGTGATTCACCATAAGCAGAAAAAAAAAATCTACCAAGGACATGTTCGTAATGCATCCATTCAGCCCTTTCCTGTAGAGATATATGACTCCTGACTTCCTGATATATTAAAGATGTCAGCGATTTCAACGAATACCACACATAAATTGTCTAGTGAGAGGTGAGAGAATTACTTTTTGTACACTTTTTGTGTGGTGTCTTAAGTCTCACCCAATCTATTTTCTAAATGCATCTTATTGTGAACAATTTATCCATGCATTTGTTTATTATGAGCCTGTAATCTTCCAGTGAAATGAGACATTTTTCTGCAAAGTACTATGCCTGATTTGACTAGTCATTTCATCTGCTTAAACCTGATCCTTTCTTAAAATGTTCCTCCATGATCTAATCAACAATGGATAGAACCAAGTCTCAATGCTAAATTTTTTTCTTTTTCGTTAATCTATTTCACAATAAAGTGCTCCACGGATGACGTATTTTTGCAGGCCAACCCGGAAGTTAACATCAATAATCAATCAGTAATACATCCAAACCTGTGGTTCTCCATCTGCATGCTTTATCTTGTGTATAGAATGATCGTTCTCCATTCTAAAAAAAGATGTGAAATATTAGGTTAAGATTATCATGCAGATTCATCCATAGTTAAAATGGTGTAATTTAATTACAATCATAAAGTTTCTAATTGTAATTAACAGGAATTTTCTCGCTGTTTGTCTGCAGAACTGGGTTGGGTGTTGGATGAACAAAGTAAAGGTCAATGCACACTGGATCGAATTCAGGAGAATACTATAGGCATCAGACACACTGATGGTCCAAGACATCCTTACATCCACCTCCACCAATGGCTCACTGAATTAAACAGCTCGCCGTTTTCATTGGCAATCAATTGGGGAACCAATTATCTGGGCTCGTCACAGGATCTGTGACGTGCCGTAGTGTGACGCTCCTCTTTGTCTCAGTGCTAATGTGACTGAACAATAAAACATGTTCTAGCACACAGGCAATATGCTCCTTTAAGCACCCAATTTGTTTAAAAGGCACAGGCTTTATTCTGGATCTGTCAGTCTGCTGGCTACTTCACGGATGAGATTCATTTATGACTTTATCCTTGTTGTTATCTGCTCTCCCTCAGAACTACACACTCATAAATCCTCACGGTCTGCCATGACAGCTATTTGAATACATAAAGACTTGTCCCTCGATAAGATATTTAATGTGGAATTAACATTAACATGGATTACTTACCTGGTTACAGATGAAAATAAAAGCTGATATTGAGACATCATTTATATATCTCTATGTATGATTTTAAATAGTTGTCACTGTCATTGCTGATTGCTATCTGCTCACGTCATCTTTTGAATGCATTTGCATAGACGCACATGCAAGGAAAGAGATAACACTGAGTACTGTCCAGTTGCCTGGAACACGTTCAGTACTTGTGTGTGGATTGGAGGGTCCTTGAGTTCCAAAAGCTCTGCTCTTTTCATGTACGCAGTTATGTGAACGTGTTTCATCAGGCTTTTCTCTTTAAGACATCGATGAAGGGTGTAAAAGCAACAGTTTTGTCTGCGGCAATCTGAATCAGCATTCTCTGGCAGCAACAGCAACTGCTGACAGTGTGGCTCAGAGACAGAAAAAAAATTCCATTAAAACTCCTTGTCTCCTCTGCTCGTCTGTTTTCCCCAGCATTGTTTCTGTGTCCCCACCACAGCACCTTTCAACGAGGAAAGGCATGTATGTAAGAGGTAGAGGTAAAACTTAAATGCAACATTACTAACTAGACATTTAAAAAATATATATCTTATGCTTAATGTTAAGAAATAGTTCACCCAAAAATTAAATCTTAAAATGTAATCACTCTTAAGGCCATCCAAGAGGTAAGCGAGTTCATTGTTTGTTCATTGGAACGGATTTGGAGAAATTTAGCATTACATCATTAGCTTACCAATGGATCCTCTGCAGTGAATGGGTGCCGTCAGAATGAGAGTCCAAACAGCTGATAAAAACATCACAATAATACAAGTCATCAACATGAACCTAATCCATAAATTAATGTCCTGTGAAGTGAAAAGTTGCATGTTTTGTAATAAACAAATCCATCAAGATGTTTTTAACTTCAAACTGTTGCTTCTGGCTAAAAACGAGTTCTCTATCAATAATTCTGCTTCCTCCACTGAAAAAGTCATCTTGTCTGAACAAGGAAAGTTGCACTGCACTTGTTAAAAACATTTCTAAACAAATACGTTGATGGATTTTGATATGAGATGACAACAGAGGATGGACTTCTTCATTGGATGTACTGACGGCACCATGTTCTGACGGCACCCATTCACTGCAGAGGATCCACTGGTGAGCAAGTGATTTACTGCAAAATTTCTCAAAATATGTTCAGATGAAGAAACAAATTATATACATTTTGGATGGCCTGAGGGTGAGAACATTTTCAGCAAATAAATTTTTGGGTGAACGATTCCTTTTAAGGAGAAGTGTGCCATTTCTATGTCACTATCAGTAAAA